TGAAAGTGTCCCTGCCGATGCTCACTCGAGATTGAAGGGCTGAGTTATACTCTGTACCTCCACCACTCCATATCGCACCGATCCACTCCAGTCCCTTCCCTGGAGCCTGACGGACCCAGCTTACACCATTACTAGTTAAAGAGAATCCAGAGACTGTGCAGGTGAGGGACAGGGTCTCTGAAGGCTTCATCAGGCCAGGTCCTGACTCCTGCAGCTGCACCTGGGACAGGACACCTGGGGACAAGAAGCATCACCATCAGTCTCAGTCAAACACACCACACACCCTGTGCCCCCCTTGCTCTCCTGAAACTCAGAGACACTCACAGCAGGGAGCCGCCACCAGGCAGAGGAGCAGCACCAAGGACTCCATGCTGTATGAAGGCTCCTGTGAGAGGAGACTGGGGCTGCTCAGCCAGGTCTGGCTTTTCATACTGAGCCTGGGGCTGTTTTGCATGGAGGAGGCAGTGAGGCTATAAGAGGTGGACAGAGGGCAGGGTGTTCTGTTCCTTCCCAGGAGAGTGTTTTTCTTATGATGATGCATTGCACTGGGGAGAGGAACACCCCAATGACACTGTTCTGTATCTTCTGTGGTACTGATACTTCTACACACATTGAGATGGAGCAAAGATTTTGTTCATTGAGAGCACAGTTTTCATTGGCAACTTTAACATGAAAGTGTCCATGCCTGGAATGGGTTGTAATGTGCTGAGTATATTTACTAAAGAGTGCCTTTCCAGGGGAGAATTTGTAGTGAGGCAGAGAATTGTGTATTTGCTGGGCTCTTGCTGGAGATAGAGAAAAATATTTAAGAATCCGAATATGCTTTCTGTCTTCTTGGTGCCATGCCTGTCCACCTCTCCAACTTTAACATGAAAGTGTCCATGCCTGGAATGGGTTGTAATGTGCTGAGTATATTTACTAAAGAGTGCCTTTCCAGGGGAGAATTTGTAGTGAGGCAGAGAATTGTGTATTTGCTGGGCTCTTGCTGGAGATAGAGAAAAATATTTAAGAATCCGAATATGCTTTCTGTCTTCTTGGTGCCATGCCTGTCCACCTCTCCATGACTGCCTTTTAAAAACATATTGCTTCATCCTTGAGGTTAGTCTTCATAGACAACTTCTACATCTTATTCCCTACATTTTCACAGTTAACTTATGTGGAGAATGTTCTTGGAGTTCATGCGTCTAACTTTAACATGAAAGTGTCCATGCCTGGAATGGGTTGTAATGTGCTGAGTATATTTACTAAAGCGTGCCTTTCCAGGGGAGAGTTTGTAGTGAGGCAGAGAATTGTGTGTTTGCTGGGCTCTTGCTGGAGATAGAGAAAAATATTTAAGAATCCGACTATGCTTTCTGTCTTCTTGGTGCCATGCCTGTCCACCTCTCCATGACTGCCTTTTAAAAACATATTGCTTCATCCTTGAGGTTAGTCCTCATAGACAACTTCTACATCTTATTCCCTACATTTTCACAGTTAACTTATTTGGAGAATGTTCTTGGAGTTCATGTGTTTCTGTCTAACTCCATTCTTGGCATTTTGTAATCAGAGATGTCTACTACTATCTGAAAATACTGGGACCTCTCATGGACTACAGATATTCTGACCTTTCCTCTTAGACCGCTGTCCCTGAAGACTCATGGCTTCATAATGACTCAAGTTTCTAAATGTGAAGCCTGAATAGACTATTTGGAAAATCGCCTCAGCAGCATACCTTACTCCAATCAAGAGGGAGACAGGAGGAAGAAGTAGGGAAATACTCAAGGAGCAAGGGCATGTGAGACTTGGTATCTGGCTTCATCCCCACCTGCCTCTCAGAGATGCTGAATGTGCTGGGATGAAGAGGGCCCTGCCCTGCCCACACAGTGCAGCTTCTCCAGGCCCTGACCTTCAGATGGCCCCAGAGAACACCACAAATGGGAGCACATTCTGTGTAGGAACATCCGGTCCTTGTCTCAAAAACCAAGATAGAGAAGGCCAATACTATCAATAATGTAAGTGAAATGTTCATTTATTTCTGAAAAAAACATTCACGGAGGATTTCAAACTTGTCAACAAATTTTTCATCCAGGGCCTTTTTTAAATGAGAGATCCAGATGTGTGTGGAAGTGCAAATCTATAATCCCAGAAGTTAAGACTGTGAGACAGCAGGATTTCTATGAGTTCAAAGCCAGCCAGGGCTACAGAGTCAACACAAGGCCATCCTAAATAACAGAGTGAGACTCTGTCTCAAAAAATACCAAGAAAAACAAAAGCAAAGCAAGGATCAGAGATTAGAGATCGTTAGATACTCTAGCAATGGAAAACATTCAAAATACTGGTCATGTGAAAGCCTCATGTGAAAGACAGAATACAACCTGAGAAGCAACAGTTTAGAACACTTAGGTAGCCAATCTTAAATGAAATGATAAAGGTGCTATGTTTTAAAAATAGAGTAAAAAACATTCAAAATCCATGGGCAGAGGTTCTGTGAGTATCACCTGATCATATGATCACAAAAACCTAACCTGACATATCTTTTTCCTTGTATGTCCTTGAAATCTCCACATCAGAGCCCGGATGTGGTGTATGCTTGTTGTAGCCCATCCTTTTGGCTGGCATTATCCTCTCAAGTTTAACTTTGAGGCTTCAGCGTGTTTATTTTATATCCCTGTCCTACCAGCTTGTCCTCCATGATGGTGACATTGTGTGCGTTCCCATCACACCTCATGGCCAGTGCATGTGCTATGACATCTTGGCTCCATTTCTTGTTACTACGTGCATGGCATAGTGTAAAACTCTGAAGAAAATGTAGGTTTCTTTAATTCAAAATCTCATGCTCTTTTATTTTTTTGTATACATACAATTAAAAAATAACTCTACTCTCTATTGAGGTAGCATGAGATGTTGGTGAAATGACTGTGTCCAGACTAAGATTTCACCGTTGTGTCTTACCAGATCGTAGGGCGGTGCTCAAAAGTTACAGGATGGGCTTTGTTAATGGAGTTTGTAGGTCAGCTTGTTGGTCCTCTGTGAGGATCATATGTCTCCTTGTGGAGTTTTTAGGAATTGATCAACACTTGAGTGAATGAATTCTGAGAAGAGCAGGTTCCCCTCCATCGTGTGTGTGAGATTCATTAACCAGGAGAATCTGCACAGCCCAAACCACCGGTGTCACCAATCAGCAGGGATTCCCCAGCAGACAGCCTGCAACTGTGCCTGCACCTCCAGCTCCCTGGTCTCCACCTGCAGCCCACACGGCAGAGCTGGGTCTTTCCAGCCTCCATGGTCCTGTGAGCCAGTTCTGGAGGAAATGTCTCTTCCTGTGTGCTGTCACTATGTGTCTGGTTTATCTCTGCTGCTCTGGAGAACCACATCCAATGCAGCCCTCCAGAGAAGCGGGGGACAGTTAGAGCAGTAACCCAAGTTACTGAGTATTCCTTTATAGCACTAGCTGTAAAGGACATGTACCATCTAAATCATTGTGAATTTTAGGTTTCTTCACAAGTCTGAGTGTAGTGTGTTTATTCATTTTTCCATTTTTGTATTATTACCAAGAGTTTCTGCTATTTGGAACACAAGTTCTGTTTTTAATTTAGATTGTGTAATTTCATTTTTGTTAATAAAGAGAGGTAAAGGCCAGGCAGTTATGTGGATCTCTTCCTGGACACAGCCTTGTGTTTACTGAATTTACCCCTTGGTTTTATATTATTTCCTGTTATTGATTTTATATTCCATGTCCTCATTATTAAAGTAGAATCTTGGCATCATTCTGATCCATTCTATATATACAGAGATGTACCGGAGTGTGTGTGAGGGTGTTACCATCAGAAACCCAATATGGAGGAAGGAAGTGAGGGTAAGGGGAATAAAATGAATCAAGATGTGATAAGCACAAACACCTACTTTCTAAAGTGGAAGTAAATATTATGTACTGCAAACAAGTCTTAATACAAAAGTTTAATGTGAAAAACTCATAATAAATAGTATATTATATACATGATAGTGAGTTGACAAATATCTGTGAAATGGGAATAGGATCAAGAGACTGGGGATCATCACAAAAAAACTAAAATGTGCGTGTGTGGGCATTGGGTGTGGAAATGAACTTATGTTCACTAAAAAATTTCTTCACAGAAAATTATAGCTGTAAGAAAGATATTATTAATTATATAAGCATATTTTATCATTTTAGGAAAATTTGAGAATACATGTGTGATGGAAATACACGTTTAACTGAGATAAAAGTGAGATAGAATATAGAAAATGTATGAACACAGAAATATGAGAATCTTCTTAGAAAAATGAATGTCATCGTACTTGAACACTTTCCCTCATGTATTCTTCATCGTTTACTGATATATAGATTGATCCTAGTGATGAGAGTTGAGAAAGGAAGAGGAGAGAGACAGAGAGAGGGGGATTTAGAGGGAGAAGTGTTACAGTCTGTTTTAAAATTGTTACAATTTCTAAAGTCCAAAGGAAAAGCGTAGGCCCAACCCTGCTCTGCCCCCTCGGATAGGAAGAGCACAGCAAAGCCCTTGGACTCTGCACTGAGTCCTGCCCAGTTTCTCTCTTCCCTCCTCCCTGAGCACGGGACTCCACAAGGTGCTGGGGCTGAGACTGAGGACCAGACATCCTGAGGTGGCCAAGGATAGAAGAGAGAGCTGGGTGTTTTCAGACTCTGTGAATTGGGTTGGGATGGACTTCATTCCTTAACCTGCATCATGTATTCTTGTATGAGACAATTCCTCACACTTGAGAATAAATTAGCAGATACAATTTTTTATGATGATGATTTGACACCGAAAAGAAAATGCAGTTGACAAAGTTTCCAAGTTACTTGAGATCTTGTTTGCCCGTATTTGAGGTCATCACACCAGGGACCAGGGTTTACCCATCAAGTGCAAGTTAGATATATGAGGTGAAACTCCATACTTCAACAATATTAACGGAATGTTCACTTATCCTTGCATACTTCATTGAAGCTCATGCATTTCAAGGTTTGTTCAGGTCATGTGATGTTAATACGGAAGGGAAACCCCAGAGGACAACAGGAAGCCCTCACCCCTCTGCTGCCTTCTCTGCACCTGCTCCTGGGGCCCTGCCTGGGTCTCCATGGACCACAGTGACCCCTGCTGGAGTAGCGCTCCCCTGCACGGATGTTTGTGTCTGGGCGAATGCCGAGGTCCCCTCACTGTGTCTCTTGCACAGTAATACACGGCCGTGTCCTCGGTTCTCAGGCTGCGCATTTCCAGATACAGCGTGTTCTTGCCATTGTCTCTGGAGATGGTGAATCGGCCCTTCACGGAGGGTGCGTAGTTTGTGGTAGTACTACCCTGGTTAATATTCCCAAGCCACTCCAGCCGCTTCCCTGGAGCCTGGCGGACCCTGTGCATCGAGTAGTTACTGAAGGTGAATCCCGAAGCCAAACAGGAGAGTTTTAGGGACCCCTCAGGTGCCACCAAGCCTCCCCCGGACTCCACCAGCTGCTCCTCAGCCTGGACACCTGCAAACACAGAGACATCTTGCTCAGGAAACTGTCGCACAAGTCCACTGTGTACAATCACGCCCTCAGTATCTTTTGCTCTAAATAATTTACTTTTCAAAATTACAAACATGAAAACCCAACACATGGTAAGGTCCATGTTGCGCTGCCTGTGTTCGATCCTGATCACCAAGTGGGAGGAGGACCTGGGCATCCAGGGCTGGGCTCTCTGCAGAGCTGCAGGGTCAGGGCTGGGCTCTTTTTTAACAGCATAGTGAAGCCTTATTTGCATGGCCTCCTCCTATATAGACAGCTCTGGGGTGGATAACTCAGAGAGGGCACTGCCCACATCCAGGGAGAGTGTGCTGGGATAGTTTGGTACCAATGAATTCATTTACGATAATAGGAAAACACATTATGAGATAATGTATTGACTTTGTCTCTTCATCTACTTGTATTTGTCTTCTACACATAGCATGCATCTTTCTATTAAATTTTTCTGCTTGGAAAATTATGAAAGTAAAATTCATGTAAAATTATGAAAGTGTGGGACACAGTTTCCTCTTCTATAGCAGAGCTGATGCGCTGTAAATGTTCTCCCCACTGTCTGGGCCCAGGCTCTCCGAAGTTGTGAACAAACTATTACCTGTTCCAGCACCTGGACAGAGAGGGGCACCTGGTGATGTGGCTGTTCCCCTGGTCCTGTGCAGAGAACAAGAGTGACTTTGCTGAGTTTTGCTGTTTGCTGAGAGGAAATAGAGCCAGTGTTCATGTGGATGCCTGTCCGTGAATCTCTCATTTTCAACTGTCATTAACTCTCTCACTCTTTATCTATATTTAGAGATAGTTTATCTGTGACAGGTTCATCAGATACAACACGTAAACTGCCCAGCTGTGAAGTGTGCACCTGAGAAGTATTAACACACAAGGGCTCTTCCACAGGTACACATGGACAGAGCAGGGAACACACGTGTCATCCTGCAGTGTTTCCTGGGGCTCCTCTGCCATCCCTCCCTCCTGCTGCTTCCCTCCTGCATCCTATCTCCAGGCAGCTCATGACTTTCGTCTTGCTTTACACTAATTTTCCTATTTCAATATTTACATAAAGACCCCACTCCATCTAACTTGGTCATGTTTAACTCAAATATTTGTTTAAAATCTCAACACGTGTCTATGTGACTCAGCATTCTTGGATATTAATGCTGATTAATTTCCCAATGTATGCAAATAGAGCCATGGATACAGCTCAGTGGTCGGCTTGCCTACTGATTGTGAGGCCTTGATTTTCATTCCCAGTATGGAAAAGATGCACAGAAAATTAGCAATTAGAGAGAAATGGGATGCAAAACATTTCAGTGTAAATCTTTCATTGCTCTCTTAATGTTTAATCAAATGTTCTAAGCTTCTGCTTATTATAAAGTGAGCTACTCATCATCACACAAATGCATACACATTAAAACATTGGTCTCTTTTTTTTTACAACACAGAGTATAACTGTAACCGAAAAACTGGATTCAATGTAAATTAATAATGTTTTCAGTGCACCAAAAGAATGAAGTTGCAAGGCAGTAAAAACATGGAACCTGGAAATTTTGAGGTTACACAAGAAAATAAGGGCAAGACTTATCTGCCTGGGGCTGAGGTCACCCTATGCCATGTAATAAGAAGATTAAGTTGGAAGCAACTCATTGATTACTAATGGCTGAGTGTGCTGAAGCCTGAGAGTGTGAGTTTAACACACACACAAACTGGGGAGGAGAGTGTTCTATTCCTGCTGCTGTAAAAACACCACACAAGGAGCACCTTACATCACATACAGGCATTTGTCATATTTGTGGACACAGAGTTTTACGAATAGGCAATGACAGATTTGGTTTCCCCAGGAGGAGAGCTGTGTGCTCCCAGACCTTGTCTAGATTCTGCACCCTGAGGTCACAGGAGAAATGCACACTGTGCCCCTACATTGCAGGGAGGGGAAAAAAAAGTGATATGCTCATGACACAACAGTCCTGATCTCAACTAAGAATCAAGTAACCCTGGGAAATTTCCCAAAAAAGACACCATATATTATTGATATCCACCAGGGCACAGATGAGTTCCAATCTATAAACTCTGAGAGACCCATGGTTTCCAAGCATAGTTTTCTATCCCGTCCTCCCACTCCCATGTCTTTATCTCTTACTAACATCATCCTATTCCCTCATAACCACTCCGAAGTTTTAAATCTCTTTAGGACCCTTCTCAAAGCCTGATGTAAATGTTATCTAAATGAATTATGGGTGAGATTTTCCATGTGATTCTCCTTAATTTGTCATCATGAAATTAAACAAGTTGAGTGTTTCCCAACTACAGTGCTGAGCCTTCCAATGCATGGACAGTTGCAATCTAAAGAGCGGATACAAAGGAGCAATGAGAACCAATAATAAGCACAACCTCACTGGACCAATGTTTACCCTTAAGGATCCATAGTAACCCCCTTTGACTTCATGTGGGTGTGAATTTACATCACATTTCACATGGTCCTTTCAGCCCCATCAGCACGTTTTCAGAGCTCAGCTCCTACAAGAGTCCACGTGGATGAGAGCTGGTGCCGGTAGTGTCCCACAGCAGGTTTCCATCCTGGTGTATCTGCGGGCCAGGTGCCTTGTGGCCAACGGGGCAACAGTCTGCAAGGTCTCCAAGGCACTGCTCTTGGGCACCTCTCTTGGAGGTTCTCACCCCACACTTGTGCTGCCATTGCCTTTGTGGAGGGTCTCTGCAGCTTCTGCCTTCTACAGAGTTTCCTGCCTGAGCCTGCAGATGTCCAGGTCTGCTTTAAGGTCAGATGGAGGCTTCCATGGCCACAGTGCTTGGACTTGGTAGACTTGCAGACAGTTCATCTAATGCACTCCATGGACATACATGGTCTGTGCACTCTGCAGTGTCAAGCATGGAGGCCCACGTTGTGCTTGGACACACAGGAGCCATACGTGTTGTGACTCAGGAATGTGGTCCCCAAATATATCTACCTGATATTTGAGGAAACCCTAGAAATGACAGCATGACCATCTATGGCTGTCATGACTTCAAGTCCGTGTGTTCTAGGCTTGTGTGGGAGTGGAAGACTCTAAACACCATTGGAATCATTTTCTCTTTTCCTGTTCAGCAGCATTAGGCTTGTCTCAGTCTATGCCACTCTCCTTATCACAACTTCCTTATACAAGACTTCAGTGTTGGCCCTAAGAAATCTTTGCTCTCTTTATGACATGGCAAGGCTGGGACACTTCCAAATATTTAAGTTTTCCTTTCCTTTTGAATTGATATTTGATAATATCCTGTTGCAGTTTTCACTCATTTTATCATTAGAAATGAGGAAAATCTATTCTCAACCCTCAGCGTGTGCTTAGGAGATTTATCCCGCCATGTCTCATTGGTTCCTGGTAACTTTTGACATTCACCATACACCTGGACATAAACACCCTTTTTCCCCATTGGATGCAAAGATGTCTTTACCCTCACTTTCCAGTACACTTGTCCTCATTTCCATTTGAAGCCTCATCCAGATTTCTTTCATCAGCCTGATTCTGCCCACATGCTGATCCCGGGAACTGAACTATCACAGCTCTGCTCCACTCGGCAATGTGTCCGCTGTGGATGGGCAGCTTGCATGGCTGTGACTGCACGGAAAGAGGCTCTCCCCGAGTGCTGTCCTAGATTTGCTAATATCATAGGCACTGCATTGTCGATGTGCTTGCGATGATTCTGGTGTAAATAAATGTACTGCTGTGCCTGACATGTAAATCATGTCACATCCAAATGTCTTCTCTCCATACTGGATTATAATAAAGTGACCATTATTGGTTTAATTACTGCTTTAAACACTGGTGCTTTGAGGGTACTCCTTCAGCTTATAATATCCTTTCTGTAATGCACTGTGCCATATTCCACTATCCAAACTTGCCTGTTTTTATGGTAATTACTTTTTATTCTATAATTTCCCTTTTCCTTTTAAAAATATTGAGTAATGAATTGAATGTTTTGTCCAACTTATATCCTGGTGACAACACATTTATGAAAAGATTCCAGGAAGAGGTCACATTCATGATTTGCCTGCAAAATAAACAAAAGTGATTACGTTAATAGATGGGGAAAATCAGTGATGTTCATTGCTCTCCAGTCAGGAGCATCTCATTCCACTACAACAATAACTGTGAAGGACAAAAATAAAATGACCATTAAATAAACCATTTTATATGAAATGAAATAGTACTCAGCCATAAAGAATGAGAAATTACCGTCATTCATAGGAAAATGGATGCATATTGAGGTCACACTCTTAAGTGAAATATATAAGTCACACACGTGTAAATACCGAATACTTTCTCTGGTGTGAAAAACTATAATTGCACATAAGATCCTAATGGTATAAATTGACAATGTGAAATAGGAAGAAAAGGGCTAAAGGCATAGGGGAAGTGGGAAGGGTAGGGGAAGGAAATAAAGGAAAGGAAAAAAATATGAGAAAATGAAAAAATGGAAATAAAGTGTTTGTAAATAGGGAAGGGAGGAGGAGTTGAAAGGAGGGCAGGGGTAACGGGAAAATGAGAACCAAGACCTGTCATGTAAAGGTACAAGACCTCAGTTATGAATGTAACTGTACCGTATACTTAAAATGTACCAATAAAATCAATGACAAAAAAATTTTTTTAATTTTGATAGTCCCCTAAATCATGTGTTGGGAAATTTATCATGATCCTGATTAAAAACCACACAGAGTCCACTGTGATCATGATTAATGAAAAAAATGTTGTTCGGGATGTGGGGAAAAGGCCAGAGCTGACTATGATGCTGAGTTTGCTGCCAGGTCTTGTTGGTTTGACAATCCCATGGTAATTATTGATTGCACAATGTGACAGCGAGGAGTCCGTCTCTGAGTGCTGATGCGGAGGCAGCATGAAGAATGTCTGGTGACTCTAGACATGATCACTGAGGAAGGAAAATCTTAACAGGAAAAAGAATCTCCCTGGAATGAAGCCCTGCTA